TTGCTCATTCCCTTGCCTCATTAATCTTTCCCCCTGGTCAGCTGTAGATAATTTTAACTGAGATGTTCCTGAACTTCAGCTCTGGTGTGAATTCATGTATCACTTTCAGCCAGCATACTTCTGATATAAAGGACCTATGACCCCCTACAGAAACCAGCCCATTCCCTTTCATGAGTCAATCCCTGCGGCATCCTCCTTCTTTGCTCTCTAGCTGACTTCCTTGCTGAATTTCGTTATGGATCAAAATAACTCTCATTCAGATCTCGCAACTGCCCCAGATCAACTGGCCAAATGTCTCTGGCGTCCCAGTTGGTGGTACTATAGAAACCAGGACACTGGAGCTGGGAGCTCCAAGTCTTGAGCTGTCAGAGTATGGAGGGTCACTGCCTGTGCTCTGAGTATTTAAATTCTTGCCAACAATGGAGCCTCACAACGGAATCTAGACATGACCCAGTATCCTAGTGCCTGTAAGTAATGAATGGGACTGTGGTCCCAGATGAGTCAGCTTCCAGCTCAGTCTGAACACTAGCGACCGCAGACCCTGGAAGGGCACAACTTTGGGAAACTCTAGGGAAGTGGCAGAAACCATAGATTAGAGGTTTAGCACTCACTCCATCTCCCAAGGGATTACTACAATGCAGGAGTGGAGAGGGCCAAGGAAACAAGAAGGTTCTAGTTGCCTCTAAGTATTGGGTCAAAATCTCCAAGTCCAGTATCCCAAACTGTGTTGTGTTCAAATGAAACTTTGTTCTCCGGCCTGATACCATAGACTTGATTTACCTGGTACCAATTTATAAGATTAGAGAATGTTTTTCTCCTTCTGATTATACTAAGATTTGGTATTTGAAGCCAGGAAGTGGTAATGCATGCCTTTAATCCCAGAACTGGGGAGGCAGAGGCAGGTGGATCTCTGTGATTTCTAGGCCAGCCTGGTCTACAGAGCGAATTCCAGGTCAGTCAGGGTTACACAGAGAAACCCTGTCTTGAAAAAATATAGATTTAGTGTGCATCCTGGCTTTCTAACCACCAAATGCAAAGACAAATCATCAGATCTAGAAAACACCACCCAGAGAGCCTGGTAGGATTGGGGATGCCTGCAAGTTACTCCTTTCCCATCACACACACACACACACACACACACACACACACACACTGATCAAAGCAAAGTTGTTGTCCTGCCCTTAAACTCAACAATTTGACCTATGTCTTTGTATAGGAAACACTGAAACCTGGAGGATAACATTCCCAAGAAGAAACACATCACATAATGAAGAGGGAGGGTGTGACCTGCTAACGTGATTTATTAGGTGTGGTTCAGTAGCAAAGTGGGAACTCAAACCACCGTGAGCTTTGCCTGTATTTAGCTTCCTAATGTGTCCTTTCAAGATCTTTGACCTAGATTTCTGCTGCCCCCTGGTGGCTCAGAACAGAGAGCCCAGGAAAGAATTCCCTCTACTTCTTTAGGGACCTAACTCATTTTTGTGTTTGTCAGTCTGTGTGAAGCTGGTCGATCTACACGCCCATCCCCCTGACTCAACAGATCTTGACTCAACTCAAGGTCAACCTCCCACTCTTATCACCCTACACCTCCACTTACCACTGATGCCACGTCCACGGAAGAAAAAAAATGAGAACAGCAGCGAGAGGAGCTGGAGCCTCTTGGTATTGCTGGGGAAGGGCACGGAGGACTCAGATGGTCAAGGAAAGGGGCAGAGAGCACAGATCTTTTCCAGACCCTAAATAGGGGTCAGATGTCCACTTTAAGGAAGATGAGGGTGCAGAGAGGGTGGCTTCTCAGTCTGGTCAAAGGTTAATTTGGGGTGCAAAGGCGGCAGACAGCTGGTAGGATCAGGATTCATAGGGACCTGCTTCACAGAATTCAGGCTGAAAGGGATTTAAACCCTGAGGAAGGAAAGCTTTGCATGGCTCCTTTGGTTTAGGAGACAGCAGTAGAGACAAGAGCCTAGAGATTGCAGAAAGACCTGGAAATTTAAGCTCTCTCTTACTCCCTCTCTTCCTCCCCCTCTCTGTGTTTATACATCTATCTCTCTCCCTCTTATCCATGTGTGTGTGCATGTGTCCCTCTCCCTCTATATGTGTCTGTCTCTCTCCCTCTGTCTGTGTGTGTTTGTCTGTCTCTGTGTCTGTCTGTATCTCCCTCTCTCCGTGTATGTGTATGCCAATCTCTCCCTCTCCCTCCCTCCCTCCCCCCCTCTCTTTTTTCTCCTTTCCTCCATCCCTCCCTCCCTTCATACCATTGCTATAGACACAAGCTACACAGGATAGCCCCCATCTGGTGGAAGAAGAGATCTGGCTCACCGGCCGCACCCTTCAGTCCCGTCCTCATCTGGAAGAAAACCACCTTACAGCATCTGAAGGTCCCGGGGCGGACAGCCTCAACTGCTCTCGCTGAAGTCTCTATTCATATTGCTTTTTAAATTATATGCATAAAGCTAGACAAGGTGCCATGCACTTGGGGGCTCAGGAGACAAGAGAATCCCTTGAGCCTTTGGGTTCAAGGCCAGTCTGAGCAACACAAGCAACACTCCATCTCAAAAGAAAAACACTTGCTTTTTTACTTGGATGTTTAAGTAAACAATAAAATTATAAACAAAATAGTGAAAGAGGGATCTCAGCAACTGATCAGCCGTCTGTCAGACACCAGCCCTTCTCAGAGTCATGACTGTCTTTGAACTCATGGCACAGTGTGACCACTTGTCATCAGATCATCCAGCTCCAACACAAGGCTGCTCAGAAAAATGAGTGTTCTCAACACAGTAATATCCAGAATTTTACCTGGCATTTTTTTATATTTATTACATTGTGTGTGTGTGTATGTGTGTGTGTTGTGTTGTGTGTGTGTGTGTGTGTGTGTGTGTGTGTGTGTGAGAGAGAGAGAGAGAGAGAGAGAGAGAGAGAGAGAGAGTGCTCATGCTTAGGTATACATGCCACAATGCGTGTATGAAAAGGTCAAAGGACAGTTTGCTGAAGCAGGTTCTTCCCTTCCACATGTGAATCCAGAGGACTGAACTCAGGCCAGCAGACCTGGGGGCAGGCACTTTTACTCAGAGCCATCTCACCTGCCCACACCTAGCAACGTCAACCCTGATTTTAATTGCATGTACCTGAGCCAGTACAGCATCTCTATTACCCAGGGGGCCAGGCAGCGCTCTTCCCTTCTCCGCTGACAGAATCTTGGATTTATATCTCATGCCAGGTCCAAAGCACAGCTAAGCCATTCCCTCTGCAAACATCTGCTTCCCTGGCCTCTCCGAGGCAACTTCTCGGGAGGCTGTCACAGGAAGAGAGTCACAGGCGGGGGTGTGGGGGGGGGGGGGTAAAGATCTTTCTGGATGGGGCTAGAGGGATGGCTCAGCAGTTAAGAGTACTGACTGCTCTTCTAGAGGACCTGGGTTCAATTCCCAGCACCACAGGGTGGCTCACAGTTGTCTCTGGTTAACTCCAGTTCCAGACCTGACACCCTCACCCAGACGTACATGAAATGAAGGCAAAACACCAATTCACGTAAAATAAAAATAAAAATAATTAAACAAAAAAATTTAAAGATCTTTTTGCCCTGCCATCAATACCTTGCTATGTCATCTAGAGTTTCCATCAACCCTCCTGTACCTGTGAAGTGATGAGGTGACGGTGAAGGAATGATGTCACCAGTGAAGGGATGAGGTCACCAGTGAAGGGATGAGGTCACCAGTGAAAGGATGAGGTCACCAGTGAAAGGATGAGGTCACCAGTGAAATGATGAGGTCACTAGTGAAGGGATGAGGTCACCAGTGAAGGGATGTGGTCACCAGTGAAGGGATGTTGTCGCCAGTGAAGGAATGAAGTCATAGGTGAAGTGATAAGGTCGCCAGGGAAGTGATGATGTTGTCAGTAAAGGGATGAGGTCACCAGCACAAAGACGAAGCCTGAGCCTTTGAGCTGCTGAGCCAGCTTCATGCTGTTTCATGCTGTATCTTTGTTGAACAAGCCCCTCATTGGATTTTCTGCTTGTAACCCAAAAATTCCCAGTTGACATATTAAGAATTCCATTCATTTTTGCATTCACTCAAATATTTATTGAGAGTTATGTGGGGAGCTATTTAAGAAACTGGAATTTTGCTAGGCTGTGGTGGTGCACCCCTTTGGTCCCAGCACTCAGGAGACAGAGGCAGGTGAATCTCCGAGTTTGGGGCCAACCTGGTCTATAGACTGAGGTCCAGGACAGCCAAGGCTACACAGTGAAACCCTGTCTTGAATAACAAAACAAAAAGTTACATAAAGCATGTGTGTGTGTGTGCATGTGTGTGTGTGCATGCATGTGTGCATGTGTGTAAAAGTATCAGTGTCCAATATGGGATAACTAGTCAAATAAATTAGCCATTGCATGGACGTCTAGTAGAGTTAGGTATGATACTGCCATCTTGAGGAAATCTAAGCATTTTGAACCTAACATGCTGATTAGTTTGTGAAAAAGTAGAAGAGTCAGAAACCGTGTCAAAGATCACAACACACTGTGAGTAAGTAGAATGAATGAAAACCTAAGCAGGAAATGGCGGTGCACACCTATAATCCCAGCACTGGGGAAGTGGGCATAAGAAGGTCAGAGATTCAGGCTGGAGAGAAGGCTCAGAGATTAAGAGTACTGATTGCTCTTCCAAAGGTCCTGAGTTCAATTCCCAGAAACCACATGATGACTCACAACCATCAATAGTAAGATCTGGTGCCCTCTTCTGGCATGTAGCCATTTATGCAGGCAAAACACTATATACATAAATTTTTAAAAATCTTTAGGAAAAAAAGAAAATCAGGAGGAGTTCAAGGCTACATAGAAATTTGAAGCTAACCTGGGCTATATGAAACTTCAAGATTAAAAAAACAAATAAACAAAAACTAATCTTGTAACACACTTGGCATAAGACAGTGACATTTTTAATATCTGACAGAAAATAGAAGAGGAAAGTAGAAAGGTTTTTTAAAATGTGAGGTGACTAGTTGGCAAGAAATGGGATGAATACAAATCTGATGACCTGAGTTCCATCCCCAGAACCCATACAGTGGAAAGAGAGAAACAAATTCTCAAAGTTGTCATCTGAAACCTACATGTGCACTGTGCACATGCAACTTACACACACACATACACATGCATACACACACACAGAGCAATTACTATTTTTTAACATTTAAAAAAATTGCTTTCCCTTGATATGCATTAAACAAGTCAGGATGTATTATTTCCAAGATGACTAAAAACTCGTCCAAGATTGCCAAAGGTGTTACACCTTTTACTGGAGCTCCATGCAATGACTAATTTATTTAACTATCATTTCAGGCTGCACATTAATACTCTTCTTCATATGTGTTACATTTAAAAAAAAAAGGAATCTGCTATCTTTCTTTAATCCATAGGTTTCATAGGCCAGCGCCATGCACAGGCAAACCCATTAGCTCCATCCTCATCTGAGCCCCTGCACAGTACAGACAAGAGGGTCCATGCCAGCGCTTTATTGGGAAAGAGAAGTATCTGTCCCCAGGGCTGTTCCATGTGATCCAGGCAGCAGTAAAAGCAAAGAAGAGAAGGGCTGATAATTGTGGGAATGTCACAAGCCCCAGGACGTCACCCCTCTTGGCTTCCAGAAGATTCCTGGAGCCCCAGACAGTCAGGAAAGCTAGGATGCTCCAGCCTCTGCAAAGAGAAGACCTTTCAGGTCACAGCGATGCCTTTCGGGCTCCCCTGCCCAGCCATTTCCCTTCCGCCCTGGGAGCCTTGATGGACTTCCTAACTGGTTCTGAAGACTCTGGTCACTTAGAAGTTGGCCCCTCATGTCCGGTTATCAAATAGGAATGGTATCTGCTGGGTATAGATACAATCTGTTTTGTTGTCCTGCCCCCAGCCCTCCTATCTCTACCACAGAGAGCCACGCCCACTGTAAACACAGTAATCCCACCACGTCCACATGAAGGGTGTGGTGTGTGACTCAGGATCTTTCTCCCTAACTACATTCTTCATGGCCTTCAGAAGCCGCCTTCCCGGTAGCTAACAGGGGAGTGTTAACAGCAGTAAAAGCTGTCAACTTCAAGCCGGTCAAAGGTCATCATGGGCAATACTCACCTAATTTAGGATTAGCCCCATCAGTCCCATTGGAGTCTGTGAGCTGTTTGAGTGACTGGAGCCGGGGGATGCAGAAGCGGCCACAGCCTGACTTGCAGCACTTTTCCCCGGGTTGACAGTTCTCATCCACCATGCAGTTGACAATACACAGGCCCACCAGGATTCTGGGACAATGGCCATCCCGCCCTGTGGAGAACACCAGCACAGGGAAAGACAGGAAGTTGGCTCCTCTCTTCCCAAATTTCCACCTACAACTTTTAGATTCAGGGCCCAGGGGAACCAACCCTGACTCCCAACTAGGTGTGGCTGGAAGCAGGGACGCTGGAGGACTGAGACACTACACAGTCAAACACCTCTGACATAGGACTTACAAGGCTCCCAAAGCCCACTTTTAGGGGCTGGTAGAATGCAGACATGCCAGTGGAGCCAAAAGCGGAGAGACAAGGTCCTGCTTTCCCCCACGACTGAATTTCATGTCAATGCCTCATCTGCCACCCTAGAAGTTTTATGCCCCTGCTTTGTGCCACCCTAATCCTGTATAAGTCTTCTTTCATCTAAGTTTGTGTGTGTGCGTACATGTGTGTGTGTGTATGTGTGTGGTGTGAGTCATGTGTGTATGGAATGTACATGTGTGTGCTTGTGGTATATGCATAGTGTGTGTGTGGTGTATTTGTTTGGTATATGTAGTATGTGTTGTGTGTGGTGTGTGAGTAGTATATTATGTGTGTAAGTACGTGTATGTATGGGGGGGTGTGCATGTATGTATGTGATGTGTGTGTGTGTACATGTATTTGTCATAGTATCGTTTCTCAAGGGTACAAGAACGGTACAGATTCAAGAGGAAGGCTCCTTTAATATTCAACTTCTCTTTTTTCCCAGATCAGCAATATGCAATACTTGCTTTCAGTGTTGGGTGGCAGCAGTCACAACTCACAGCCTGCCATAGGACTACCATAGCATACAACTGAAACTCTACAGTAGGTTCTGTCTATTGCAAAGGTAGAAGGGTTTTGCGGGTTGAGAGTTGTGCTGGCTAGTTTTATGTCAACTTGATACAAACTAGAGTATTCTGAAAGGAGGAAACCTTAACTGAGAAATGTCTCCATAAGATCTGGCTGTAAGGCATTTTCCTAATTAGTGATTGACGTGGAAAGGCCCAGCCCATTCTGGGTGGTACCATCCCTGGGCTGGCAGTCTGGGTTCTATAATAAAGCAGGCTGAGCTGGGCATGGTGGTGCATGCACTCGGGAGGCAGAGGCAGGCAGATCTCTGTAAATTAGAGGCCACCCTGGTCTATAGAGCAAGTTCTAGGACAGTCAGGGCTACATAGAGAAGAACAAAATAAAACTAAACAAAATAAAATAGGGGCTGGTGAGATGGCTCAGTGGTTAAGAGCACTGACTGCTCCTGCAAAGGACCCGAGTTCAATTCCCAGTACCCACATGGCAGCTCACAGCTGCCTGTAACTCCAGTTCAAAAGAATCTGACATCGTTATACCAATGCGCATGAAATAAAGTCAAATAAAATTGAAAAAGAAAAAGAAAATACACTGGGAAAACCATGGGGAGCAAGCCAGGGAACAGCACCCTTCATGGCCTCTGCATCAGCTTCTGCCTCCAGGATCCTGCCTTGTTTGAAGTCCTGCCCTGACTTCCTTCCTTGATGGACTACAATGTGGAACTGTAAACCAAAGAAACCCTTTCCTCCCCAATTTGTTTTTGGCCATGGTGTTTCATCACAGCAACAGTAACTAAGACAAGATTATTAAATAGACTTTCAACTTACAAGATTTGCCATTTCCCATGGATTTGTCAGGTCAGGCCCCATGACAGTCAAGGGGCATCCATAACTCACTTGTCTTCCCTAACAAGCTGTGTGTATGTACAGACAAAGGGGTGGACATTGCCTGGGGACATAAACAAACTAATGGGCAGGGAATGTAGCTCAGCAAATACACGGTGTTTGCTCAACTTCCGAGGAGGCCTGGGTTCAGTCCCCAGCAGTGCATAAACTGGATGTGGTGGCTCGTGCCTGGGACCCCGGCAAGCAGGTGATACAAATAGGAAGGTCAGAAGTTCAAGGTCATCTTGAGCTACACGGAAAGTTCAGTCAGCCTGAGTTACAGGAGACCCTGTCTAAAAAACAAAAACAAATAAACAGAGGTTGAAAGAGAAGGGGGGAGGAAGAGAGGAAGAAAAGGAGAGGAGAGAGAGAGAGATCTGAGAGCAGTATCTCAGACCTGTAAAACCAGCTCATGGGGATTAAGCCAGGGTTCTGAGTTTAAGGCCAACCTGGACTACATAATGAGACCCTATCTCAAAAACAAACAAAAATTGATCCAAACAACCAGTGATATTGGGCAACTTTACTGGACAGAGGAAGCAGGCCCCAAAAGAGGGGATCCCAGTCACAAAGCATACCTACAGCAGAGCCCAGAAGGAAGCTTTGTTACCACACCTCCCTCCTCTAGCTCTTTCCATGCCAGCATTAACCTTTAACCCTAGAAGGAAGGGTTCCATTGGGATGGAGACGGAGGGTTGTAAAGATGACAACAGGCTCCCCCAGGAAAGCGTCCACAGGAAGCTCCTCCAAGCTTACCTGGTACCCAACGGGCACTTGTGGCTCTCCTCCCAAAGAACCAACATACCTCCCTGGATGTCTCCTCGGCAGGCATGGCCACAGCCAGTGCTGCAGCACTTGTGTCCCTGGGGACAAGATGTGTCCCCATCACACAGCTCCTCGCACGGAAGAGGGTCAGCAGGACATCCACCACTTAATTCTGCCACAGAATCAAAGCATTGAAACTCAGAGGTGCTCAAGCCAGGAACATAAAATACGTTTTTCAGTGGGTGTAAATAGAGACTTTAATATGCAATACTCCTTAATATTCTACATCCATTCCTTGTCTTCTGGCCATGAGCCATATTGGTTTTGGTGCTTGCAGTATGGAAAAACACTGATCAGCTCTTATCCACTGTAGCAAACACATGAATTACATACCTCATGCTCACTCTCCCTTCTTTTACACTGTGACGGGTATACAGTGCTTGGCGCCAACCAACTATATCTCCTGGGATTTGTGCCCTGGTGAAGTCCCTTTCCACACTGACTTGGGCTTCACCCTATGATTTACCTTTACCACAGGGGCATTGGCAAGCCTAATGCAAGCAGAGACTTAAGAGCACCTGCCTGCAGGGGCCTGTCCTCTTGGAATGCCCCTCTCAGAAGCCAGCCAGGGTGCAACAAAGCAGCTTGAGCTACCCTGTGGTGTGATGAGATGCAGTGTGGACAGGGAACACAAGAGAAATACATTCCCGGGGGGCCAAAGAGGAGGGTTCAGTTGGTAAAATGTTTGCCTTGCTTTCCTGAATTTGATCCCCAGAGAAGTCTGCGTGTGGCGGCGCCAGCAGTGCAATGGCAGAGATAGTCTGACACCGAGAGCTCACAGGCCAGTCAGCCGAGCCTACTCAGCAAGTGGGACCCTGACTCAAAACACCCAAGGTGGACAGCTCCTGAGGACTCGCCCTCCATGTTGACTTCTGGCCTCCACAAGCAAGTGCACATACACAGAGATATGCAGAAATATGCAAATTAGTTGATTAATTCATTAAAATAAATACGCTGGGCAGTGGTGGCACACACCTTTAATCCCAACAGAGGCAGAGGCAGGTGAATCTCTGAGATCAAGGACAGCCTGGTCTACAGAGTGAGTTCCAGGACAGGCAGAGATACAAAAAAAAAACAAATAAATGTAAATAAGAAATGTTAACCCCGACATTCTATTGAGCTCGCAGCTGCACGCATGAATGACCTCAGCTATACCGCATGGGGAGATGAACTACCCAGCAGAGCCTGGGCCACCCTTGTGGATGTGATGAGGAATCAGGTCACTGTATCTGGGGACAGTTTGCTATACTGTAAATGAGGGTCATTCTTAAAACTCCAAGTCTGAGCCAGGCATTGATGGCGCACACCTTTAATCCCAGCACTCGGGAGGCAGAGGCAGGCAGATTTTTGTGAGTTTGAGGACAGCCTGGTCTACAAGAGCTAGTTCCAGGACAGGCTCCAGAGATACAGAGAAACCCTGTCTCAAAAAAGAAAAAAATAAATAATAAATTTTAAAAAAACAGGTCTGGTCTGAGAAGCAATAAATTTAGTCCAAATGAATCACTTCCTCCATATTTTTTGAACTAGAGATGACCACAAACTAAGAAGTTTCTGTATCCTTTTTTAACAATTTTATTTTATGTGTATTGGTGTTTTGCCTACATGTATGTTTGTGTGAGGCTGTCAGATCCCCTGGAACTAGAGTTACAGATTGTTATGAGCGGCCTTGCAGGTGCTGGGAATTGAACCCGCATCCTCTGGAAGAGCAGCCAGTGTTCTTAACCTCTGAGCCATCTCTCCAGTCCCTGCTTTAGTATTCTTGATACAAACTGCCACTTGGCTTCTTTCTTTCGGAGACATACATGCTGTGGAGATGAAAGGAAGCCTTCTTTGAAGTAGGAAGCCCTAGCATGAGGGTAAAGTCAAGGACTGGCAAGGGGAGAGGGAGATGCTTTCTTCTTGGTAGCATCATTGAGTTGCCATGGCAGCTCTGACACCCACCTCAGAATTCTTGTAAAGGGAGGGACAGTGAATCACTATTCTGTAGATGTTCTGTTGCCCATGGCTGAAGACATTCTAGATGCTGAGAATCCAGAGAAGAGAGTGGGGCCGACCCGGAACTAGAGTAAGCCAGCAGCTAAGGACAAAACTCAGGCCTGGCTTGCAATGAATTGCATTCTAATACGCCATCCCTAAAAGATGCAGGCAGCTTGGCCCCAGGAGCAGGCACACCCAAAGAAGACTACATCCAAGCCAAACTAAACTCACCATGAATCATTGCCGTTCTTTAAATGCGGGAGAGAGGTGATGAGCAATTAAAAGTTTTGTAGAAAACCAAAATATGCCTAGCCCAGAGCCTCGAAAGCAGCAGGCTATGCATGACAGCACATGGCTGGCTCCAGAAAGTCTGCTGAGATGGAGAGAGCAAGCGCTGGACCCCAAAGATGAGTCATAATAGTCTCATGTCCTGGGATTGTCCCGCACAGGAATGTTGTGTTGTTATGATGTCATATCAAAACTACATACCCTGATTTTTTTTTAATTTGGAAAACAAGGTTACTAGAACTACCGGAGGTATCTCACTACACCTACTCATCATCTACTTGACAAACACTGCAATATGCTTGACAAAAGTAAAATTTCTTCCACCATTGAGAGAACTGTATATGGAAATCACCCTAGAGGGAAATTCCACGGTCACCAGCTTCTCATAGAGTTGAACAATGAACCTAAAAAGAGGGACACCATACCTACCACGTGTCACCGTTCTAATGAGCTTGGCTCTGATGGGATGAAGGCCAGGAGACTCCGCTCCTCCCTGCTCTTCAGACTTAGTAGAGACCTTACCTCTGCTCTCCCCTAGCCCAGCTTCCCTTGAGCCCCTAGAGTTTTGGAAAATTTCAGAAGCAAGGAACAGACCCCTTGGGAGGCAGGCTGGGGTCAGAGGGCATCCCCTTTGATCACTGCTCAGCACTGCCATCCTCCTTCATAGCTCAAATCCATGTCAAATAAATAATTCCTGTCAGCTCAAACACAAACGTAATGGGACGTCACTGCTGTGGGATGGCCTTCGGTATACATGTTGTTTTTATTCGGCCAATGGCTTAGCAGAATAAAGCTAGGCCAAAACAAAGATACAGAGGAGAGTAGGCAGAGTTGAGGCGATGCCATGTCGCCACCAAAAGGAGAAAGAGATCCAAACGTTAGCGGCAAGCCACGAACCTCATGATAAAATATAAACTAAAAGAAATGAGTTAATTTTTAGTTACAGCTAACCACAAAGAGGCCTGAGCCATCAGTTGTAACTGATATGAAGCCTCTAAGTGGTCATTCAGGAACAGACAGGCAGAGAGAAACCGGTCCAGTGGGGCTGGGCGAGACAGAGAAGAAACCTCCAGACACACTTCACCACCTCTAAGTCAGACAATGCCGTCCTCAATTTTTGTAAAAAAAATTTTATGTTCATTGGTGTTTTGCCTGCATGAATGTCTGTGTGAGGGTGTCAGAAGTCCTGGAATTGGAGCTACTAACAGGTGTAAGCTGCCCTGCAGGTGCTGGGAACTGCACTCAGGACCTCTACAAGAGCAGGATGTGCTCTTAACCACTGTGCCATTACCCTGAGCCCCATACTTTCATATCCCTGCGTTAGTTAGTTAGTTAGTTAGTTAGTTAGTTAGTTAGTTAGGTGTATGGGTGTTTGTCTGCATGTATGTCTGCATGTATGCCTGATATCCAAAGAGGCCAGAAGAGGGTACTGGATCCCTTCTGGGGTTGTTATGCGCTGCCATGTGGGTAATGGGTATCAAACCTGTGTCATCTGAAAGAGCAGCCAGTGCTCTTAACAGCTGGGCCATCTCTCCAACCCCGCCATCCTTATTTTTAAGCTAGACAGTGCTTGTACTCCCTCATACTCTCCTGAAACCAAGTTCCTGAGAAGTTCTAAGCACCCATCCTTATCCTGCCCCCAGGAGCCTTGTAAAACATGGTCTTTGTTAGCCGGGCGATGGTGGCACATGCCTTTAATTCCAGCACTCAGGAGGCAGAGGCAGGTGGATCTCTGTGAGTTCGAGGCTAGCCTGGTCTACAAGAGCTAGTTCCAGAACGAGCTCCAAAGCTACAGAGAAACCTTGTCTTGGAAAGAAAAATGGTCCCTGTGATGATGCCTTTGGACAGAATGCCCTGCCTTCGATGTCTTGGTTCTGCTAACCTGCGTGAACTCAGCCGTTACAAAGTATGGGGCCCAGTAAGCTCACAACTAATTATGCTACCATGGGTCCTGACAAGAAACAAGACTGGTAGCTAGAACTGGGATGATCACCCCACCCCCTATCTGCACCTCTCCCAACACCCTACCAATCCCCAAAAGCAGGGACACTGAAGTCAGTAAATAAGCTTCACGTCTCCTGCATCAGCCCAGGGCTTTGCCTCCCTGGGCCCGGCTGTTAAAGAGCATCACCGCCACCTGTCTGTCACTCAGGCTGTTAACGTCACATTACACGGTCTCTAACACCCTTTCCCTTGGTGGCCACAGCCTTTTATTTCTTTACCTGGTCCCGTCAGCTGCCTTTGAGTCTCTGCTTTTCTGTGTCTGTATTATGGTGAGCTCCTTGGCCTAAACCAGGATCACCTATCACCCACCCAGTCGGCCATGACAGCTTCTCGCCTGGTCTTCCATTGTCTCCACCTGGCCCTCATCCATTCTTCACACAACAGGACAGCCTTTTCAAAGTGAACATTGGACTAGGCCTCTCCCTCATTTAGACTCCCCTCAATAATCTTTTTTTGGCTTTTTGAGACAAGTCTCATGCAGCCTAGACTGCCTTAAACTCACCCCATAGCCGAGAATGGCCTTGAACTCCTGGAGATCCTCCTGCTTCTGCCTTCCCGGTGCTAGGATTATGATCATTTCCCACACACAGGGATTAGGTGCTTTTTTACAAATGTGTTTAGTTTGTATTTACTGCTGTGTGTGTGATATGTGTAACTGTGAGTTCATGAATGTCACAGGGTGCCTGTGCTGGTCTGAGAACAACTTCTGTGGTCGCTCCTCTCCTTCCCCTACGTTGAACTTGGATCCTCAGATTTGTGTGGCCTTCACCCGCTAAGACAACTCAGTGGCTCGAATTACTTCCTTCTGCACATAGAATAAAATCTGCAAAAGGAGCTCAAAGC